AATAATGTCTATTTCGTTTGTCCTTCCCTATAATGTATAATGATACTAAAGCATTCAAGTTGCACCACCTCTAAATATGCACAAATCTATCCAGTTTTTTATTTCCAACATTGTTAGTGGTAGGGGAATATAGGCAAATATTTTGTGAAATATTTCTTCATTTTTTATATTTTTAGACCAACCTAATGCCCAATTTTACCGGTAAACCTAAAAATAGTTTTATTGTTTTCAACAGAGGTTAAAGGCAAACTTTCTGTGGCCGTAGTTAATGATTTTTTATACCCTACCTTTATTATGTAAGGTTTTTTTTCTGAAGCCACTAAAAATTAAAAGTTTACTCCTGAAGAAAAAAGGTCCACCTTTCAAAAGAACTCAGGTTATAGGTTTTTTACAGTTTTATATTAAGACTTCTTGAACCTTCATGTTTTTCTGATATCATAAATAACATTCATGTTTGTTGTTCTAAATAGAAGCATTATGTATAATCTGATTGATTTGAGAATCTTTAGATGAAGCATCATTTGAAATCTTAAAGAGTGGTTGATAGACAACATTTTAGATTAATGCATTCTGATATGTTGTTACTACTTATGATACATTAATTCAAAAGTTCTTAAATTTATTGTACTGTGATAATGAAAATACAATTTTTTCATATATTTGGTTAATTATAGTAAAAAGTTAACATGAGTATATTATTAACTTCAGTATATGTTTTTTTCCAGGACTAAGAACATTGTGTTGTGCTGTAGCTGAGATATCCGAAGATTTCTATGAGGTAACTAGGTTAAATTGCTCAAAATTGAATTGCATGTTTAGTTGTACATCAGTTGTTAAAAAAATTGACTACTGAAATATGCATTGCAAGAACTGAAGTTTGGTATTTATAAGTAACAATGAGCATGTATTCAAAAGTAGAATAAAACATTGTGTTATAATGTACTTCATCTATTTTTAGAATGCAACAATGAATGGTTTAGAGTACTTACAGCTAGATTAAAAAATTGTTGAAAAATATTGTTTTATTTAGACTATTTATAGGAAGTGTTTAAATTTTTAATTATAGAATAGCAAATTATGACAGATAACATATTTTAACATTTAAAGTTATAGTTTTCAACTTTCTCAGAAGTGCTAAAAGAACTGTAATACAGCAAATTTAACTTAGGATTAACTTTCTAAACTTATGTTAAACCAACCCAAACTTTAAATATGCACAAGTGTACAGGAAACAGTAGTGCGTGACAGACACGTCACTACTAGCAGAATTGTTTGCTTTCAGCATGTAACAAACATAATTGCTATAAACAGTTGAATATAACAGATATTTAGATTTAAAAAGTAATGCTTTAAAATTGCATATATTGCATTAAAAATATAAAAATTATAAATATTTCATCAGTATGTACACTGAGTGGTCACAAGTAAATAGACACCTATTTTCGTCATTTAACTGATTTGTG